CGGACTCAGACCCGAAAGTCGTAGGTTCGAGCCCCGATCGAGTCGCTCGCCTTTCATCGTTGCAAGGTAAGTCAATGAGCATCGTACCGTGGAAAGGAAACATAGCTGTAGATCGCGCTTTTAACAAAACAAGGCAGTCATGGCTATGAAAGAGAAACGAATCTCAACGCCGATTCATAAACTTCACGAAAAGAAGGGAGCTACAAGCGCGTCCTAAAATCATGAAAGTACAACGGTGGCCAAAATCTCAACGAAAATTAATAACCACCTTCCTTTTACTTCTTTGCTGATCCAATGATTTGATATCCAAACAAAATATCCTCTATCTAGAAGACAACAACCATACCATGCTAACTGTTTTCTGAAGAAAATCTGTGAGATGGCAGAGGAAAATACTGGTTACAGGTTTATGTTCATAAAAAATGCATGGCGTGGGATAGAATGTGATTGATGCGTTAGTAAAGGTCATTTATCAAACACTGTTCATTAACGAATGGTCTAATAAGCGACTTATCGATGTGGTATATCAGATACGAATGCTGCGTTCAGTGTGTCAGACGTTCTGCATGAAGCATGTTGCCTTCGTGTCTTACCGCGGCGCTTCAGTGAACTCAGAATGAAAACTAAGAACTCTCCATTGATATACTCCCAGTAGATTTCAACATAACCATAGCTACAAATTTCATGTACTATAACAGGTCAAGAGTCAGGGCATGTTTTCTAGCAGAATATGAACAGCCATTTTCGCCAGATAAAGAAACAACTTAATCAAACGACAGCATTTACAACAGGTACAGACAGGCTAGACTGATGTGCATTACAGAGCAATTATTCATGCGCGCAAACCGATCATTTAGCGGCATTACTAATATGTATTTGATCATACAGGTTACTGCTGACTTCTGATAAACGTCGGTTCTAACCGGCAGACAAGCCTTGGTTATAGAATGATATTCACAAAACTAGAATGAAGCACTTTTGGAAGGCTGAATATGTTCCTGTCTCGGAAATTGCCGTTGTGCTTGAAATCGAAGGTCTTCGATTAGAGTGTGCTACCAGTGTCAATGAATGGATCCTATACACGAAAGCTATTCCGAATCTACGTATTACACAACGCAGCATTAAAAGATATATGCTGGGAGTTAACAAGGAAAATAAGGATATGAGTAAGAACAGAAAAAGGGGAAAAGGGGTCAGCAATGTCA